GTCTGGGTGGGGCGGCCAGTTGGACAGACTACGGAGCCGGGGTGGGTACTGGTGGGGGAGGGGCTGGCCTGCCGTTGGCCGACAGATGCAGGCCCCACAACACATTCACAGGCACACCCCTCATTGCACCACACTCGACACGCACGAAGCCCCCCACACACAGCCTCCCACACACACGCAGCCACACGCCGGCCTCACCCGCGTGCCGGCACTTCTCCGCCGAGTTGCGCATGACGGAGGCGGCGCAGAACTGGCCCTTCTTGATCTGGATCACCTTGCCCGTCTTGGCGGCAGCCACCAGCAGGTCGGTCTGGCGGCACAGGAAGGCCGGGATCTGGATGATGTCTGCCACCTGGCAGGGCAGGCAGGGCCGGTGGGGATGAAGGTCAGCGGGCGCCAGGGTGCGAGGAGAAGGTGGAGGCGAGTGAGGCGAAGCAGCGCCAGGCGGATGGGTGCGCGGGGGCGAGCGGATGATTAGGTAGGCAGGGGTGGTGAGGGCAGGGCGTGTGCCTCCCATGCCACCGGCTGGCGGCCATCCGCCCAGCAGGCAGGCGCACCTGCGCCACCTGCTCCGCCTGCCAGCTCTCGTGGATGTCGGTGATGATGGGCACGCCAAACGTGTCCTTCACCTTCTTCAGCACCCTGCGGCAGCGGCACCAGCAGCGCGCGGAAGCCATGGAGACCGCATCAGCTGCCAGCTTTGCCTACCTTGCGGGCTGCCTCCCAACTTAGAGCTTGCGGGCAGCCAGGGAGGCAGCAGCAAACACCGAGTGCAGCCGCGGCATCCGACCCCATGTGACAGGCTTGTGGGGCGCGACAAGCTCTGCTGCAGTGCAGGCGCAGTGGCGGGCACGGCCGAGGCCGCAGCACGCACCGCAGGCCTTCCTCCATGCCGGGCCCGCGGAAGGAGGCGGCGCTGGTGCGGTTGGCCTTGTCAAACGAGCTCTTGAACACCAGCTTGATGCCCAGGCTGTCTGCATCGCGGCAGGCAGTGCCAACGGCGAGGCAGGCAGCAGATTATTGGAGTGCGAGCCAACCCAGCAACCCGGCTCGCCATCGGTTGGGGCGGGAGTGGCGGCAGCGGCGGCGGCCCACCTGTGACGGCCTTGATCTGCCGGCACATCTTCAGGCAGTGCTCCTCCGACTGAATCACGTTGGGCCCGGCCATGAGGAAGAAGGGCTGCGAGGCCTTCAGCTCTTGAAAGAGCGCCGACTCCTGCAGGGGCGATGGCGGCCACCACCAATGCAGATCGCTTCACCTGCACCACGGCATGTCATCCGGGCCTCGCGGAACTGTGCCGTTCCCCGCCTACCTCGGCCATCGTGCTGGGCTTGAAGTTGCGAGGCGAGCTATGCTTGTGAGTGCAGCCACTCCCTGCTGGCGATCAGGCAATGTTGTCACAACGGAGGCGCTGCAGCAGGGAGGCACAAATTGCACAGCTGGCAGCAGGTGCCAGGTGCCAGATGCCACAGCGACCTTGCACCAGGGCTCTCCTTGTGCTTTGTAGACGTTCTCATCATCGATCCTGAACGTTTGCGATGATCTCCCGAGCCGTGGCGCCGCACGCAGTCTCCCCTCTCATCGCGCACCGGCACTGTAGGAGGCTGTGCAGGGCCCACAGCTCGCAGGCGGTGCACCAATTGCTGGATGACACTGCCTGGCTGCTCCCCAGCCCAGCTGTGGAGGTGGGCCGGGCGGGCGCCGGCACCCGCCAGCATCGCGCCGCCTCCGCTTGTCGCTTTGCCGTCCTGGCCAACTGAGGCTGAATGACAGCGTGCACACGCCCCATACATCCTCAACACCCACCCACCATGCCCTGCTGCTGCGTAGGTGATGGCGGTGCGGCACGGCGCCGCTGCTTTTGCCGTCATCCGCGACGACCAGCTCCACCCCTTCCTGGGAGGCAACAAGTTGCGCAAGCTGGATGGGCTGTGGGCCTCCCTGGCGCCCGCCGCCGACGTGATCACCTGCGGCGGCCTGCAGAGCGCGCACACCGTGGCGGTGGCCGCCGCCTGCGCCCAGCACGGCAAGCGGTGCCACCTGCTGGTGCGGGGCGAGCGGCCGGCAGTGCCCACGGGGCACCACCTGTATGCCCGCCTCTTTGCCCACCATGTGGAGTATGTGAGCAGAGCCCAATATGCCGACCGGGAGGCCATGATTGCTGGATACCTGCAGCGCCTGCAGCAGGAGCAGCAGGAGCAGGCGCAGCAGGCTCCCACCAGCATCGCAGCAGCGGCAGTAGGTGCGTGGAGAGGGGACGTACCAGCAGCAGTAGCAGCAGCAGCAGAGGCTTCAGCGGCAGTTCTAGAGGCAGAAGCAGCAGCATCCCGCAGCACCAGCACCGGAAGCAGCAGCGGGCGCATCGCTGTCTTGCCCGAGGGCGGCGCCAGTGCTGGCGCCCTCCTGGGCCTCATCCGCCTGGGGGCCTGGCTGGCGGAGCACCCGCAGCTGGCGGACAGGCGCTGCAACATCGTTGTGGACAGCGGCACAGGCGCCACTGCCACGGGTGCGTGGCTGCGGTGATGTGTGGGCAGCAGGCTGGGATGCTGGGTGGACTGTGCCCTTGAGCACAGCCGCTCCACGCATGCCGCAGCACGAAGAGGGAGGAGGGCGGGCACCCCGCGTGCGACGACCTGCAACGGCGCACATTCCCGCTGGCCCCTGTCTGCCTGCAGGCCTGGCGCTGGGTGCGGCGCTGCTGGGGCTGCCCTGGAGGGTGACGGGCGTCATGCTGGCTGCACCGCTCGAGTACTACCTGTCTCAGCAGCGGAGCCTCACAGCTGCGTTCTGTGCGGAGCACGGCATGGACGCCGCCGCGGCGCAGCAGGGCACAGCAGGCAGGCTGGCCTGGGTGCAGCGCCCGGCACCGCGCCAGTTTGGAAAGGTGCTGGCGGGAGAGGTGGCGGCGTGCCGGGCGGTGGCGCAGCAGCATGGGATCGTGCTGGACCCGATTTGGAGCCTGGCGGCCTGGGAGGTGTGCCGGCTGGTTGCAGAGGCAGCACCAGAAAGTGGCAGCGGCAGCGTGGCGGACAGCAGCAGTGATGGTGGCCGCAACAGCACCAGCAGCAGTGGCGCCTGGGGAGGAACAGCTGGGCGGCAGGGGGGTGAGCTGGCGGTGATGCTGCACACGGGCGGCATGCTGGGGCTGTGCGGCCTGGCGCAGCGCCGCCCCCACGAATTCTGAAGCCCTCTGGCTCTTCATTGCACACTGCCCTCACATAGTCATGGCACGATGCTGGAGCTTTCTGGAAATAGAGTTGCATCACGCAAGGCCCCCGCCGGCGGGAGCTCCTGCTGCGGCGGCAGGCAGAGTCAGCGCAGGTCCAGCCGCGCATAGGTGGACCGGCAGCAGGGGCAGCGCGCAGGTCCCAGATCGCTGGCAATGGCAAACGCCTCAAACGCAGACAGGCAGTCGGCGTGGAAGGCATGGGAGCAGCTGAGCAGCGCCACGCCGCCCAAGCCCGCGCCGCCGCCCGGCTGCCGCCGCTGCGCCGCCTGCTGCTGCGCCTGCTGTGGTCGGCTGCGGGCCCGCATGCCCCTCGCCATGCTGGTGCCGGTGCCGTCGTGCGCATCCGCGGGGCCAGCTGCGCTTGCGGCCAGGGCGCGGCTGCAGGGCTGGCTGAGCGGCACCAGGCAGATGGGGCACTCGGGGTGGTCGTCCCGCTCCAGGCAGCGGCGCTGTACCGCCTCCCAGTCCTGCTGCTGCTGCAGCTGCTGCAGCTCGGCTACCGACTGCCGGGAAGCTGCACCGCTGGCGCTGTTAATGGAGCCATGCACACCTGGCGGCAGTCCTGGTGCAGCGGCAAGAGCCAGGGCAGGGGAGCTGTCTGCTGTGCCTGGCGCCTCCCGCACTTCCCCGGATGCCAGCTCTGCACTGGCATCCGGTCTGGTGGCGGGGCCTGAGGCCGGCGGAGCAGGCTGGCAGCGAGAGGAGAGCTGAGTATAGAGCTTCCCAGCTGCTGCAGCGGTGGCGCTGAGCTCTGCAAAGAGGGCATCAATGTCGCTGCAGCCCTGCTCCACGCTGGCCACCAGCTGAGCGCTGCCCTCCTCAAGCCGCTCGGCACACCAGCGCCGCCTGAGCGCGGGATGCTGCGGCGGCAGCAGGCGGCGCAGCGCGCGGAAGTGCCGCCGCGCCAGCCGGCCCCGCCAGGCCGCCTGGATGCGTGCGGCGCAGGCGTGGCGCCACAGTAGCTCCGCATCAGCGATGCGCCGTTTCTGGTAGGCCTGGCAGCGGCACAGCGGGCAGCACCGCGCCTGCCCCGTGTGCTCCCTGCTGAAGCGCTCGAAGCTGGCCAGGCAGGTGGCGTGGAAGGTGTGGGAGCAGCTCAGCAGCACCTGTGCCGCCGCCTTGAACGGCGCTAGGCAGATGCTGCAGAGGCCGCTCGAGTCCTGCCGCAGCCGGCTCGCCAGGTGCACCTGCTCGTGGGGAAAACCGGGGCCCGAGGGTGCAGGTAGTGGTAGGCGTTGGCGGCAGCAACCAAGCAGGCAGCAATTAAAGCAGGTTCAGCGCACCGCAAGCCACTCGTCGCTGGAAAGGGCAGGCGGCGGAGCGGGCACCAGGCCCAGGCGCTGTGCCAGGGACACTTCCGCAGCGGTCCTGGCCGCAAGCTGCAGCTGCGCCGCGCGATGCGCCTGGAGGGCCGAGGCGGTGGTGGACAATGCAGGCGGTGGTGGACAACGCATGGCTCCCGCATGCGGGACGCTGACCGTGCCGCTGCTGGTCTCTTCTTGACCGCCCTGGAGCACGCTTTCAATGCGCCCAGCAAGGCCGGTCTGCCCTCCTGTTTGTGGCCAACAGCCTGCGCCAGGCCTGACGTGGCTCATCTGAAATTCAGCTGGCAAGGGCTAGAGCTGCAGCATTTGCATCCACCTGTACATCCACCTGCCCTGTATTGCTTGCTGGTGTGCACTGTCAGACCTTGTGGACAAAAAGCTTGTTGTGGCTTCAAGAACAGGCCGCCTGTTGCAGGGGCCCCAGTTCCGCATGGAAACGTCCTCTCAGGTGGGTTCTGCGCCATCGGGCCAGGCCAGCCTGCAGCCGAGGCCAAGGCACGGCCGCGGCGGGAACCGGCCAGCAAACCACCCAAACCGCAGCCCAAATGCGCTTGCCATCCTCCGACAGCGTTGCGGTGCCGCTGTGGACGCTGCTGCAGGAGGACCAGAAGACGCCCGCGTCGCCGCTCGCCGCCGCCGCCGCCGCCACACCAGGCGGCGCCACGCCTGCTGCTGCCGCTGTCAAAGCAAGCGCAGGGCAGGATGGCGGGGATGGAGTAGAGGTCGGCGGGCCGGGCGAGTACCCGGCCGTGACGCCGTGCTGCGACAGCAGCCGCCCCGATGTGTCGCCAGAGGAGGTGGTGGCGACGCGCAGCGGCGACGTGCTGCTGCCCCACACCATCTTGAAGAGCGACCACTTCCCCGGCTGCCAGAACATGAAGCTGACGCCGCTGATCGACGGGGCACCCAACTTCCGCCAGGTGCGGAGCCGGGGCAGTCGCGCGGCGGAGGGCGAGGCGCGGAGCGGCTGGCTGTACTGGCTTGTTGAATTTTCACACTTCCCCTGCTCGGGCTGGGGGTTGCTGGTTGGTCGCGGCCCGACGCCGCCCTGCTCCCCCCTGCGCCGTCCTGCCGGGCGCTCACCACACGCTGCCGCCGCTGGCGCAGGTGTCTGGGCTGCCTGTGTACGGCGTGGCCATCCCCACCGTCAGCGGGCTGCGCCTGGTGCTGGAGCGGCTGGGCGCAGCGGGCGGGCGGCGCAAGGTGCTGTGGCACAACCAGCGGGAGGAGCCCGTCATCTACATCAACGGTGCGCGTGCGCACCTGGCCCCTCCAAGGCTTGCCATCGCACTCGGCAGATTCCAGGGCGGCGGCCCAGGGCTGCCCCAGGCTGCCCAGGCTGCCCAGGCTGCAACGTGTTCCAGCGAAGCGGTCAGTCTGTTCCCCACCGGTGGCCCACGTGCTCTGCCTTGCAGGCAAGCCGTTTGTGGTGCGTGAGAGCGAGCGCCCCTTCAGCAACCTGGAGTACACGGGGATCGACCGGGAGCGGGTGGAGGGCATGGAGGCGCGGCTGAAGCAGGATGTGCTGCAGGAGGTGCGGCGCGCGGCTGGGTGCACGCGCTGCGTGCCGCGTGGCAGCGTGGGGAAGGCGTGTGTCGTTTCGTGCGTGTGCTGCCGGTGCGCGGTGGCGCGCGGTGCTGGCGGCGAGGCCGGGCGCCGATGCGGCGCGCGCCTCCCCCGCGCCCCGCCCCCGTGCGCGCCGCAGGCGGAGCAGTATGGTCGCCAGGTGCTGGTGGCGCACGAGGACGACCAGTTCCAGGTGGTGGAGGAGTGGGAGCCGGTGACAGAGGCAGATGTGCAGACGCCGCTGGAGGTGTACCAGGAGCTGATAGGTGGGGGGGTGGGGTGGGGGGGGCAGCGCCGCAGGGCCCTGCCACGTCAGCGGGCAGCCACGTCAGCGCGCGCCGCGCCCTGCACAGCCGGCAGCGGCGCCGGGCCGGGGCCGGGAGGCGGCCGGGCGCGGCGCCCCGCAGCTGCCGCGCTCGCCACCTCCCCCAGCCTGCCCTGCCTCAACGTTGGCACGCACACAACGTCGCCCTGACCCGGCTCTCGTTCTGTCTGCCCTGCGTGCCCCTCCCCCCCACGTGGCCCGCCGCCTGCAGCCGATGGCTATGACGTAGACTACCTGCGCGTGCCTGTCACCGACGAGAAGGCGCCCAAGCCCTCGGACTTCCAGCTGCTCATACAGGTGGGCGTGCCTGAGCACCCAAGCAGCGCTGAGAGAAGTCTGGATGGCGGCAGCGGCGGCGGCCCCAGCAAGGCGCCGAGGCGGTGCGGCTGGCTGCAGCCTTCGTGCCTCCCCTCACCCGGGCCCTCCGCCCCTGCAGCGCTGCTGGGCCCCGCCGCCCGGCGCCGCGCTGGTGTTCAACTGCCAGATGGGGCGCGGGCGCACCACCACCGGCATGATCATCGCCTCGCTGCTGGCGCTGCGCCGCGCGCGGGCGGCCCTGGCGCTGCCGGAGCAGCCGCAGCAGGGGCTGCCCGACTGGTTTGTGGCCTCAGACCGCTACCCCAGCCCCAGCAAGGTAGGCGCCCGGGTGGGGGCGGCGCTGGGCCGGGCTGCGCTGCCGTGGTGCGCTTGCCTGCATGGATGTGGGTGGGGGTGGAGGAAAGGGCCGCAACCTCTCCCCTCTCCCCTCTCCCTGCCTCGGTGCATTCCATGCTCCCCATGCCCCGCACCCACCCACCACCCACCCACCCCAGCCACCCTGCCTGGCACCGCCGCCTGTCTGGCACCTCCCGCAGGCCGGCGCCCTGTCTGTGCTGGAGGAGACGGAGCTCAAGGCGGGCAAGTTTGGGGTGATACGCTCGCTGCTGCGCGCGCTGGACGGCGGGGCCGCCGCCAAGGCGGTTCTGGATGCGGCCATAGACGCCTGCTCCGCCATGCAGGTGGGCGCTGGAGTCGCGGGGTCGGCTGGGGGCCGATTGCCTGGCTCGGCTGCCTGGCTGGGCTGGGTGGGATGAATGGCGGCCTCTTGCGGGCTGGGCATGCAGCTGCGGGAGCGTGCGTGTGTGCTTCACTGCCCCCACACTCCCACCACCTGCCCACCCTGCTGTCCGCCGCCCCGCCCCGCCCCGCCCCGCCCCTGCGCAACACAGAACCTGCGCGAGGCGATCGCCTCCTACCGCGGCCGGATGTTTTACGAGGCCAACGACGCGCGGCGCCAGTCGCTGCTGCAGGCGTGTGCCGCGGCCGGCCGGCGGGCCAGCGCGGGGCCCAGCGCGCGGTGGCCCGGCGGCATGCGCCGCTATGCCGCCGCCTGCATGCATCCCCAGCCCTCCCTCGCCACGCTGCCCGCCTTCCCCGGCTTCCGCCCTGCGGGCCGCCGCCGCGTCCACCGCTCCTGCTGTGTCCCGCTCCTGCCCGCCTCCTCGCTGGGCGTCCCACTCAGTGCCGTCGTCCTTCTTTCTTTCTTTCTTTCTTCCTTCCTTTCTTCCCGCAGGTGTGCCTGGAGTACTTGGAGCGCTACTTCACCCTCATCTGCTTCGCCTCCTACATCTCGGGCGCCCACTTCCCCCCCGCCTCCCCCGCCTCCCTCACCTTTGGCGAGTGGCTGGGCGCGCGGCCCGAGCTGCGGTCCATCCTGGAGCGCCTGCTGCGCTACAACCCGGCCGCGGCCCTGGGCCTGAACAAGTCGCCCGACGCCGCTGGCCCCCAATAAGTGGGTGGGGCTGGTGGTGGCGGCGCGCGTGTGGGTGTGGTGAGCAGGTGTGGTGGTGGTGGTGGTGGTGTGTGTGTGTGTGTGAATGTGTGGGTGTGTGTGGGACTGGGGTGGACGGCCTGCTGGCTGGCTGGTGGGAGTTGCCGGCTGCCTGGCTGCTCGACGGACGCGCTACCGCCGCATCCCCGCCGCGCCGCCCTGCCTGCACACCGCCCGCCGCTGCGCGCCCGCCCCGCGCAGGCGAGGCCCAGGAGCGGCAGGACAGCGCGGAGCAGGAGAGCCACGCGGCGCTGATCAGCCAGCGCGGCGGCTCGGTGCTGGGCGCCTACGCAATCCTCAAGGAGGACCACTTCAGGGGTGCGCCGCCGCCGCCGCCGCCGCCGCTGCTGCCGCGCCTCGGGGCTGCACCTGCCGTGCCTCGGGGGCAGCGCAGCGGGTGTGCCGGGCGGCGCCTGGCGGGCGGGGTGCGGGATGGTGGGGTGGGGTGCGAGGTGGGGCAGGCAGTGGGCAGGGCGCTGCCGTCGGCCGGCCGGCATGCCAGCACCTGCAGCCGCAGCCGATCCTGCTTGCCCCGCCAGCCTCCGCCCTGCCTGATCTGCACCGCTCACCCTCGCCCCACCACCCCCACCCCACACCCCACGCGCAGGCTGCCAGTCCAGCCGCCTGGTGGCGTGCGTGCCGGGTGCCCCCAACTTCCGGGACGTGCCGGGGGTGCGCGTGTATGGGGGCGCCATCGCCACCGCCGACGGCATCCGCCGCGTGCTGCTGCGGGTGGGCGCCGCGCCCGACGCGCCGCCAGTCAACGGACGCCAGGTGCGCGTCGGGCCTACCGCGGGGGCTGCGGGGGCTGGCTCGGAAGAGTGGCCGCATGGCCGCGTGACCGCGCCGCACGCCTCGCCGCCGCCCCATCCCTCCCCTCGCACAGCGCCCTCCTTGCGCCCCACCTTTGCTCTCGCGAACCACCCCCATGCGCCCCCACCCCACACACACACCCGCCCGCAGGCGCGCGCGGTGTGGCACCTGCAGCGCGAGGAGCCTGTGGTGTACATCAACGGGCGGCCCTATGTGCTGCGCGAGTCGGCTCGCCCCTTCAAGAACCTGCTGGAGTATCACGGTATCATGGCGGACAGGCTGGAGCGCATGGAGGCTCGGCTGAGGGTGGGTGGCCGGGGGGTGTGCGGGGATGGTGGGCGTGCAAGGTGTGGGGTGAGCATGTGGTGTAGTGTGTGTGTGTGTGTGGCGGTGGCGGTGGTGGCGGTGGCGGTGGCGGCGGCGGTGGTGGCGGCGGTGGTGGTGGTGGTGTGGTGGCTGGCTGGCTGGCGTGCTCCTCACAAGCCTGGTTGCCGCTCCCATCCCGCACGCGTGTTCCTGTCGGCTTGCCTGCTGCTCCCCGCCCACCTGCACCCGCCTGGCTGCCTCCCGCCCGCCGCAGGACGACGTGCTGGCGGAGGCGCGCTCCCACGGCGGCCGCGTGCTGGTGACGCGTGAGGAGCAGGTGGCGGGCGGCGGCGGCGCGCCCCACGCCTCGGCCCGCCAGGTGGTGGACGTGTTTGAGCCGGTGGCGGGGCCCGAGGCGGTGCAGACGCCCAAGCAGGTGCGCCGCCGCGCCCCCTCTTATGGTTGGTTTGCCGCGGCAGCCTGCCGGGCGTGCTTTCCCGGGCAGGAATGGTTCCGCCGCGTGTTATGGTGGGGGCTGGTTGTCCCCTGGTGCCGGCCTCTGCCCCCGGGGCTCCCCATCCCGCCAGCCCTCACCCCCCCACCCTCCCCTCCCATGCCCCCCCCCTCCACCTGCCTCACCTCACCCCTATGCCCCACCCCTGTGCCACCCCGCAGGTGTATGAGGAGCTGCAGGGGGAGGGGTACCGCGTCACGTACGTGCGCATCCCGCTCACAGACGGCGCCTGCCCGCTGCCCCGAGACTTTGACACCTTCTACTCAGCCGCCGCCGCGGCGGGGCCCTCTGACGCGCTCATCTACACCTGCCAGGTGCGGGGGTGGTGAGGGTCGGGTGGAGGGCGTGGGAGTGTGAAGGCTGGTGGGGAGCTTTGGACCGGAGGCCGAGGGCAGCCCGCCGCACACTGCGCCTGCCCGCCTGCTGCGCCGTGGGCCACCAGAGCCGGGAAACAAACCGGGTCTGCCTGCTCGCCTGGCTGCCTGCCCTGGCCTGCCCTGTGCAGCTGGGCGGCGGGCGCACCACCACGGGCATGGTGATTGGGAGCCTGCTGCGCATGCACCTCAACGGCGCGCGCATCGGCGGGGAGGGAGGGCTGGCGGGGCCGCCCGCAGAGACGGCGGAGCATCTGGATGAGGATGTGGGTGAGTGCGGGCGGGTGGGGCTGGGGTGGGGTGGGGTAGGGGCCCCTGAGCCTGGGCCTAGGGAGTGCGGGGTGCCAGGGCTGAGGGTAGAGGGTGGTGGAGAGCAGCGCAGCGGCTGCCGTGCCAGTGTTGTGCTGCATGTCCATGGCCGCCGGGACGCCGCCTCCGCCTCTGCACGCCCGCAGGCGGCGCCTCGCCCCGCGGCGGCTCCGACGACGAGGAGGCGCAGCCGGCGGCGGCGCGCCTGCCCAGCGGGCCCAGCATGAGCCTGGTGGCGGCGCGGCTGGGCGGCGCGGCGCGCGGCGCGTACGGCGGCGGCGACGGGTCGAATGGGGAGGCTGCGCGTGGGGACGAGCAGGTGGGTGGTGGTGGTGAAGGAGGGGGAGGAGGAAGCGGGCTGTGGCCGCACCTCGCGCCCACCTGCACCTCCCACCTCCGCCGCCTCCCTCTTGCGGAGACTGTTCAAAGCAGCTGTGCCAGCCCCATGCCCATCCATAGGATATCGGACATACCTTCCCTGGCCATCATCCTGCCCCACTTCGTGTGTACCTTACCCCCCCACACACACCCGAACACCACACACACACGCCCCTGCTCCTCCCCCCCGCAGGACCCCGGCCTGGACCTGGAGGCCCGCCAGCTGCGGGACGGCGAGTACGTGGCGGTACGCCGCTTCACGCGCATCCTGGAGCGCGGCCCCGACGCCAAGGCGACCGTGGACCGCGTGGTGGACGCCTGCGGCGTGCTGATCAACCTGCGCACAGCCATCATCCGATACCGCCAGCCCCGCTCCCTGGACCGCTTCTACAGGTGCTGGCGGTACCGCGGGCGGCTGCGGCTGCGGCTGCCGGCTGTGGTCGCGGCTTCCGCCTCGCCTTCCCTGGCTTCTGCTCAGGGGCTGGGGGAGCGCTGTCCCCGCCTCGCCTGTTCCTCTGCCCCGCCGACGAGTGGCCCTGCTGCCCGCCCGCCCGCAGGCCCGAGATCCAGGCGCGGCACAACGCCTTCCAGCGCGGCTCCGCCTACCTGGAGCGCTACTGCATGCTGCTGGCCTTCACATCCTACCTGCAGGCGCGTGCACAGGGAGGGCGTGGGCAGGCGCCGGCGGCCTGGGCAGGCACCGCGCTGACGCCGCGGGGGCTTAGCAGGGCTGAAACTGCCTAGTTGATGCGAGCCCGCCGGGGCAGCGTTCCGACTGTCCCTTCCCTTCCCAGCGGCGATCGCGCTTTGCCTGCCCTGCTCCCCACATGCCAAACGCACCTGCATGCCACCACTTCTCCCCCGCCTGTCCCGCCTGCAGTACTGCCAGGCCCGCGGGCGGCGGCTGACGTTTGAGGAGTGGATCGCGGCGCGGCCCGACGTGTGCCAGGCCCGCGACTTCATCCACCAGAACCCGGCCTCCGCGCTGGCGCCGCTGCCGCTGGTGCTGCCGCTCACGCCCGCGCCCAGCATGCTGCCCACGCCGGTGCCGTCGGGCAGGTGGGTGGGGAGGTGGGGCAGGTGGGGTGTGTGCAGCAGTCACACATGTGGAGGCCACGGCTTTGGTTGGATGCAAGCAGTGGCCCGCAGCCCCGCAGCCGCCAGCTGGTTCCGCCTGTCGGTGCGCCGCTTGGGCCTCATGCCGCCGCTGCCACTGCCGCTGCTTGGTGCAGGAACGTGAGCCTGGATGAGCAGCGGCGGGTGCTGATGAAGCGGCGGGGCAGCGTGGTGGGGCGGCGCTCCATACTCAAGAGCTACAGCATGGCCGCGCCGCTGCCGGGCAACGGCGGCAGCCAGCTGCTGGTGGAGGGTGTGTCTGACATCAGGTGGGGCGCCCGGCTCTGTGAGAGTATGGGTGGGCCCCCCCGGCTGTGAGAGGGTGGCAAGCAGGGCCGGCTGGGAGTGCACAAATTACCGCTAGTCTGCTGCTAGTCTGCCGCTAGTCTGCCGCTAGTCTGCTGCTTTGGGTCGCGCCCGGCTGGGCGGTGCCGGCTGCGATTGCCCAGGCGGCCGACTCGTGCGCTGCGCCCGCCTCCCCCCCCGGGCGCAGGCACGTGGAAGGGCTGCCCGTGGCGGCGCTGGGCGACGCCACGGTGGATGGGCTGCGCCGCCTGCTGGGCGCGGCGGGGGCCAAGCCGGGCGGGCCGCGCCACATCGTCATCACAGACCTCCGGGAGGAGCTGGTGCTGTGAGTGGCGGCCTGGCTGGCTGGGTGCAGGAGGGACAGGCGGATGGCAGCCGCGTGTGGGCGTGGTGGTGGTGGTGGGGCAATGTGCGAGAGGGGGGGACCAGGCAGCCCTCTCTGAACAGGGGCGGTCCTGAACGGGCCCGGAGCCTGCCATGGCGGCTGGCGGTTGGGCTGGCTGCTCACATCGTGCCCCCCCGGCTCCCCGCCTCTGCACCCTGCAGGTACGTGCGTGGTACCGCCTACCTGCGCCGCGAGCTGGAGATGCCGGCGGCGGCGCTGCACCACGCGGGTGGGTGGCGCCAGCACGGGCGCTCGCCGCGTCGCCCCACGCCACTCCCGCACGCCAGAAAACCCCGGCGTGGCAGGCCGGGCCAGCACGGGCCAGACCCGTGACGAAAATTGTATCACTGCTTTCACAGTTTCTGAGCACAACACTTCCCGTGCTGACCTTCCAATTTTTCTGAGGTCTCGCCCTCCGCCCGCGGCACCTCCCGCCTGCTGGCTCCTGCCCGCCGCCGTGCCCCCTGCTCCTGCTACCGGCACCCTTGTCCTCTTCTCCCCAACAGTCCGTCGCCGCCACATACATGCCCACATGCCATTGCCGCCGCTGGCTGCCTGCAGGCATCCAGGCCGCCAAGCTGGAGGATTTGGAGCGGCGGCTGCGAGCCGACATGCTGTCGGAGGCCAGCGCCTGGGGAGGCAAGGTGCTGCTGCACCGGGAGGTGGCGGCGGCGCCGCGGGGGGCGCCCACGCCGCGGCAGGCCGCCAGCGGCGCCGCCGCGGCCTCGGCGGCCGCCGCGGCCGCAGGAGGCGGCGGTGGCGGCGGCGAGGAGGAGGGCGGCGAGGACATCACTCGCACCACGCAGTACCAGCCCATCTCCACGCAGGTGCAGGCCTTCTGGGAGACGACGGGGGATGTGGGAGACATCGACCAGGTGGGCGGGCAGGGGGCGCGCCGCTGATGTGGTGCAGTGGCCGCGCGGCTGAGCGCGTCGCTGGGCAGCTGGCTGGATTCGGATGTGCCAGTGTTGTCGACGGGCAGCAGGTCGCCACACGCCCGCCTGCCCCGGCATCACCTGCCCCTCTCCTACCCTGCCCCCGTCCCCCACCCGCCACACACACACACACACACACACACGCCACCACCACCACCGCCGCCCCCGCAGGGCCTGTGCACCCCTCGCGAGGTGTTTGTGGCCATAGCGGCAGAGGGCTACCAGATCAGCTACCGGCGGGTGCCCATGTCGCGGGAGCGCACCCCGCAGCCCGCAGACCTGGACCAGCTGACGGCGCAGATGGGCAACCACCCGGCGGGCAAGGAGGTGGGCGGGCGCGGGGCCTGCCTGCGGGGCTGGCCACGCCTCCTGGCTCGCCGGCTGGGCTGGCGCGGGGCTGCTGGTCGTTGAGGGGTGCAGGGGGAGGCCTGGGGGGTGGAGGCTGTGGCCTGCGCATGCCCCTGCCTGACTTGCGGCCCACCCCCTGCCTACGCGCGTGCAGGTCCTGTACATGTTCCTGTCCCGTACCGCCGCCGGCAGCAGCGTGCGCTTCGCGGCCACCGCCGCAGCCACCTACCTGCGTGTGCAGGCCGACCGCCGCGCGGCGGCGGCGGCCGCGGCCGCCGCGGGCGGCGCGGGCCTGCCCACGGGCCTCAGCCCCACGCACAGGGTGCGCGTGTGGCCGTGGTGGCGGGGGTGGTGTGGTGATGGTGTGGTGATGGAGGCGGGAAACGCCTGGCTGCTCGCCGGCTGCTCGCGGGGGTGCCGCTTCGCCGGGCCGCTGCCAGCACCACCCCTGCCTGGCCCTACGCACAGACTTATACGAACCCTTGACCTCCCGGCTGCAGGTGCCCTCCTTGGGCGGTCTGGGGCCCCACCCCTCCCCCGCCGACGACGCCTCAGACTACCTGTCTCCCACCAAGCGCCTGCGCCTGTCCACCACCAGCCTGCCGCGCGTCGAGTCGGATGCCTCAGACCTGGTCAGGTGTGTGTGTGTGTGTGTGTGTGTTGGTGTGTGTTGGCGGCGGCCTGCTGTTCAGGGCAGCTTGCGAAGTCGTGGGGAGGCCGGCAGGCGCGCAGCGCGGCAGCCGCCTTGCCACACCCCCGCTGTTCCCCACCAGCAGTGCCTACGCACAGCACTGGCCGGCCCGCTTTGCCTCGCCACCCACGCATATATCCACCCCCACACACCACCCCATGCACACATGCACCCCCACACATGCGCCCCCACCCTGCCCCCACCCGCAGCCGCAACTCAATGCTGGGCGAGTACCGCGGCATCATGAACCTGTGCCGCGTGCTGCCAAACGGCGCCGACGCCAAGCTGGCGGTGGACGCCGCCATCAACCGCTGCGCCGCCATCGGCAACATACGCCTCGACATTCACGCCTGCAAGGACGCGGCGGAGGGGGGGCTGGCTGAGGAGGAGGGTGAGCCCGGGGGCTGGCTGGGCGGGGGGGGGGGGGGTGTGTGTGTGTGTGTGCGAGAGAGCGTGTGTGTGTGTGTGTATGTGTGTGCGCGCGCGAGTGTGTGTGTACGGCGGGCGGCATGGCCACTGCGCTCGATGCGGGTACCGCAAGGTTCAAGCCGCAGACCCTGCCTGGGAGCAGCATGCCCTGCCAGGCGCCACGCTTTGCCTCCCTCGGCCTGCCTGCTCCTCTCCACGTCGTCCCTGCCCGGCCTGCCTGCCCACAGCCACCAGCCCCGTGGCGGGCGCAGTCATCCTGGGAGAGCCGCGAGCGGCTGCAGCTGCTGCCGCGCGCCGCCTGGGCCTGCACTACCTGCAGCGCTACTTCTACCTCATAGCCTTCAGGTGCGGTGCCTCCCTGTGTGTGTGTTGGCTGCGTGTGTGTGCTTCTCTCCCACTTTCTGCCTGCGTGCCTGACCGGTGGGCTGCGTGCCTCCCCGACTCCCTTCCCCGCTCCCGCCGCTGCTGGCGCAGGGTGTACCTGGACAGCCAGCCCCGCAGCCTGCTGGCAGCCTCGTTCAGCGAGTGGGTGCGGGAGCGGCGGGAGCTCAAGTTCCTGCTGTCGCAGCTGGACCTGGTGTGACGCCCTCGCGTGCTCCATTGCACAGTAGTCATCCCGACTTTTGCACGGTAGTCACCCAACGTTAGTCACTGCATGCACACCCCTGCATATTTTCCTTTCCACCAGCTGATCCTTGCATCAGCCTTGCCGGCTGGCCGCGTTTCGACCGGCGGGTGCCCCATGTAGCAACAGACATCACAGCCCTGACGGAGGCTGATGACCCTTTCACGCTCTCTGTTCTTCCTGTTCTTTTTTGTCCCCTGAACGTCAACTTGTCCTCCTTCAGCCCTGAGCTTTGCTATGTTTTGCTCTGCCCTTCCTGATTTTGTTTCGCCGTTGCTCACTGCTGACATGCCATCTGCTCAGTCAATAGGCTCGACTCCCTCGCTTTGTGCAACTTTGTGCCACAATTCTGTCTTACGTTGCTGCTCACCTCTTGCTCCAGCGCTGCATCTTCGGAGTACAATGCAGCTTGGTCGGCATTTGCGGCTGCGCAATGTATGCTCCACTACTTGACGGTCGGGAGGGGCGCGCAAGGTGTGCGGCGGCGCACGGTGCGAGGCGGCACCCATGCCTGCCTCACTGTAACATGATCCCATCCTCTGCTTGTTGATGCGTGCTATAGCAGGGCAGGGTTGGCCTGCCTCAGGGCCTTCCTTGTGAAGAGCACTGGGGCAGCAGCAAGCTTTCAGTGCCTCCAGGCAATCATATCGAGTTGGCTGTAGCCCACCATGAACAATTGAGCGCAGAGGAGGCTGTTTTGGCAGCCAAACGGGTGGACCTCGTGGCACTGCTGACGTGCTCTTCCGCCACCTTTCCCTGCAGGTGTGTGCCTGCTGCACTGTGATTGCCAGCAGACTACTAATTTAGTAGGCAGTGCACGACGTGGCGTGGTGCAGCCCCGATTGATCACTCGCTGCAGGAGCTCTAGTAGCTAGTGCGATGTTTCTAACACGAAGCGAGTACGATAGGGGCGTTAACACCTTCAGGTACGCGCTCCAGAGCGTTCCATCACTCGCTGGCTTGTGGCCTCCGGCTGATCCAGCCTGCCCGCTGCGCCTGTGCAGTCCCGAGGGCCGCCTGTTCCAAGTAGAGTATGCCATCGAGGCAATCAAGGTGCGGGAAGGCGGGCCGCTTGTCGGCCGGTGGCGGCCGGCTGTGGCCTGTGCCAGTTGTGGAGCCTTGCGCCTGCGGTGAACCGCAACGTGCCTGGGGCCCTCCCTGCCACAGCTTGGATCCACCGCCATTGCGGTGCGCACAGACGAGGGGGTGGTGATGGCAGTGGAGAAGCGAGTCACGTCGCCGCTGCTGGTGCGCCCTGCTGCCAGTCCACCCCTGTCGCTGCCGGCCTACTGCCGCCAGTCTGTGCAGCCTGCTGCATGGCTACTTTGCACTGCCAACATGCCAGTGGCCTGCGTGCATGGGTACCTTCTGCCCCGGCCTGGCCCGACCGCCTGCCTCCCATCCCTCCCCCAACCGCGCCTCCCACCGCTCCCTGCCCACCTGCCTGCCCTGCCTGCGCGCCGCCCGCAGGAGCCCACCAGCATAGAGAAGGTGGCTGAGGTGGACGAGCACATCGGCGTGGCCATGAGCGGGCTGACCGCCGATGCACGCACGCTGATCGACCACGGGCGGGTGGAGACGCAGCAGCACCGCTTCACGTACAACGAGCCGATGCCGCTCGAGTCGCTGACGCAGGTGGGGCAGGCAGGCGCCTCCCTGGTTGAGGTGCCTGCCTGCCTAGGCACCCAGGGAGACTGGCTGTTGGGCGGGTGGTTGGATGGCCCGGCTGCTGCCACGGCTTGCCGTGCGCTGTGCGCGAGCCTGGACTGTTGGGTGGGTGTGGCAGAGTGGGCACGGCAGGCAGCCTGGCTGGGCTCGACACCCCCTGCCCTCATGCTGCCTGCCGCCCCGCTGGCCCCCCGCCCCGCCGCAGAGCCTGTGTGACCTGGCGCTGCGGTTTGGGGAGGATGACGAGGGGGAGGGCGGCATGAGCCGGCCGTTTGGCGTGGCGCTGCTGGTGGCGGGGTGGGATGCAGAGGGCGGACCCGTGCTGTGAGTGTTGCATGGCGGACCGCCCGCATGCCCTGGAAACACCCCGCCGCCACCGCCGCCACCTGCACCAGCCACGTGTGCCTGCCTGCTGCCGCCTCGGCCACCCGCCCTCCCACGCTCCGCGCCCTCCCGGGACATGCGTGCTGCTGCCGTGAGGTGACTGTACCGCCTCCTCCTGTACCGCCGCCGGCCTCCTGTACCGCTGCAGCTTCCACACCGACCCCAGCGGCACATACGTCAAGTACGAGGCCAAGGCGATCGGCAGCGGCAGCGAGGGCGCGCAGACGGCGCTGCAGGAGTCGTACCGGTGGGTGGGCTGGCAGGCGGGCGGGCGGGAGCGGGCTGGGTGCAGGGCAGAGGGGCTTGGCGGCGCGGGCAGTGGGGCCGGGCCGGGCGCACGCTGCCAGCTGGCAGGGCGCACGCTGCCCGTGGGCGCGGCGCGCGCCGCCTCTGAGGCTGCCGGCGTCTGCCCGTGCGGCGGGCCGGCTGCCATCCGGCGAGGGCCTCCCTGCCCCTGCCCTGCTGCCATCCACCGCCTCTGGCGCCGCCTGCCGCCCCCGCCCGCGTGCGCGCAGCAAGGACATGACCCTGAAGGAGGCCGAGGTGCTGGCGCTGTCCACGCTGAAGCAAGTGATGGAGGAGAAGGTGCGCGGGAGGGTGCGGGGTGTGTGGGAACCGCCGGGTGCTGGGGCGCTGCCGGTCTGCTGGCCAGGCCCCACAGGGAAGCAGATAACAGCACGTGCGCTGGCAGCCACAAGTCAGGGCCCGGCAGCGTCCCACCCCCTGGTGCCGCGCCCCTCCCGGCCCCGCAGGTGACGGCCACGAATGTTGACATTGCGCGGGTGGCGCCCAAGTGGCACCTGTACACGCCAGAGGAGGTGGAGGAGGTCATCGCGCGCCTCTGACCCCCTGCCGCCTGGCAGCAAGCGGTTCGAGCAGCGACAGAGGCATCCGTGTCCAGGCCGCAGCGGCCGCGGCACCGCGCCGGCGAGGGGAGGTAGAAGCAGCCAGCCGCCGCGGCGTGGCTGGGGCACGCTGGCGGCAGCCTCGCTGGGGCGTTTGCAACGACTGTAAACACGCAGGCAGATAGGTGGAAGGAGGCACCAGCGCAGACAGGCCCAGCCGCTGCCGTTCCAGCGTTGCTGGCGGGCAGAGTTCTCTTCCACAGCCACATCCCTCTAGTGGAGCCCACCGAACAACCCATGGCTTACAGCATGCTACTGTGTTGGTCTGTGGGCAGCATGGCACAGCTGGGGGCAAAGCAGGGGGGCACCCGCATCGGCAAGCATGGAGGAGGGACAAGCGGTTGGAGGATCAAAGCGGGCCGTTGAGGGTCAAGAGTGCATTTTGGATTTTAGGGGTGGAACAGCAGATAGCGCCGGAGCACCACAACGGGTGGGGTGGGGGAATGAAATGGCGGCGAAACATTGTTCAATTGATATGCCATTCAATGCTGGAGGACAGCCGGACGGAGAAAGAATCAGTTACGCTCTGGCAGTGTAGGAAAATAAAGAGGGAGGCACGCCGGGCACAGCTGCTGCGGATGTGAGGCTGCGCCGCCAGCCGCGCTGGATGGAGGTGCACGCCGCACATGCGCTGCTGCGCCGGCTTGCCTGCGCGACTGCCTGGCGTGTCCTGGGAGCAGCGGTGGCCTCCGCACGGCAAACACGTCGCACTAGGCGCCGCAGCATCTAATCACTAGGAGCCGTCTCGGCCCGTTGCTGCCTGGCGAGATGGCCAGGCGGGGCTGTCTGGTTGCATGGGGCTGCCGCTCTGCGTCGCTCCATGCCACCAGGCGGCTCGTTTCTGCGCCTGTTGGCTGGCTGGCCAGGGGCCGGCACATCTGTGGCCGGCTGGCTGGCTGCATCCTGGCTGGGGCTCTCACGCCAGGAAGCCCAGCTTCTCGCCGTTCTTCTTCGCCAGGCGGATCAGCCCCTGCACCTGCTTCGTGTCTGCGCCCAGCTGCTTGCAGAAGTCCTTGATCACTGCAGCAGGGCAGGAGGTGGGTGGGAGGAAGGTGAGGATGGTGCATGGAGCCGTATGGCAAGCATAGGCCTCCCCACACGCCGCCGTGCAAGGCGGCCGCCGGTGGTAGTAGAGTGCGCGGGGCGCCCGCCTCCGCCGCTACCCCCCCCCCCCCC